GCAGGGAGAAAAGAAGAACCAATTTTATAATTCCATTCTCGATTTCACTTAACAATCTTCGCAGCTGATCTGCTTTAGTACACTTTAATCATAATCGAAAATTTTAGAAACATATGTCTATCAACTGCATGCAAACTTATATATTGAAGGCCCAGTTACCAGGTCTTTGCTACAATGTGGTCTTTCTTTTCAATGAAAGACAGATAGAAATGGCAAAATGCATGGTTTGCTTCCTTAAGTCATTTATCATAATAAAGATTTCATTCTTATGAGCAGTTTCAGCCCCTATAAGATCCGCCATTTATAAGAGTAAACATAACCACAGGAAGTCTATTTAATTGAATGTTTGTACAAAGGGCGAAATTGTTCTTTTTTTCGTTCTGGGATAACCGGGATGTGCCAAATTTTATCATTAAATATGGAAGTTCAGGAATTGATATACTTTGTCCCCTTTTTTTCCAAATTAATGGGAAATCAGGTTCATGTCTTTGTCAATTTTCGTTGATATGTCATGTGTAATAAATTGGTAAGGAAATTCAAGCGAAACACTTGCCTTTCGCTGATCCAAACACGTCGGCGTATGAGAATCCACCAACGAAAGCGACAACCCTATAATTAAAAATGTTGAAAGAAAAAACTAAAAATTGCTGAAGAGGTAGAAATGGGGAAAAAAGTTGGAAATTTGTGGTTAAATTTAGATTTTTGCAATTTGGATAAGAAGAATAAGAAACTGTCAAGGAGAAATCAGAATAAGCAGGGTAGAAAGGAAGTTAAAGTTTGATCAAAAAGCTAATTCTTGATGAATGAAGACCCTTGCATGGAGTCTTGTGAGAGTTTGAGAGTCTTCAGCATTAAGATACCCTAAAAATGGACCCATACCTGTACTGGTCAAGCGAGTGCCCCGATAGAAGATCCGTCATGGTAACATCGTACGGTTGAAATCCAGACATAGCAAATGCTGCAGCCATTTCGCGATCACCATTCGAACCCTCTTCGCGTATGATTGCTACTCGTGGAGCTGGAATACTTGATCTTCTCATAATCATATTTTTGCGCGATACTCTTACCTTCTGTGAGGTATTGCGACGAGTTTAGGAAAGCAGAAGGAGCTTGCCATTCGAAAGGAGCAGAATATGCTACTAATTTAGTTGTACACCGGACCTGTAATGCTCCGACTTTCAAGAAAATTCAGCTGAAATTCATAGAAGGGAGGGTTTCAGCAA